AACTTGAGGCGTTGGAGGCAATTGAGAAACGAGCGATAAAGCTCATTGGAAATGACGCGCTTTGCCGGGCAAAGTTACAAAGCCTGGAACACCGACGCAAAGTTGCCAGTCTTTCGGTGTTCTATCGGTTGCATTTCGGTGAGTGCGCAGAGGAATTACATCAGCTAATTCCTTCCGCCCCTTTCTACTACCGGACGAGCAGGGAAACGGCAAGGCGACATCGATTTCACGGTGGCAGTTCCAAAGACTCGCACTAAGCGATTCGCGTCTAGCTTCATCGTGCGGACTGCCAAACTGTGGAATTCCTTGCCTGAGCCCTTGTTCCCCGAGCACTACAATCTAGCGGTCTTCAAAGCAAGAGTGAACCGGTTTTTATTAGGTAAGCGCGCTCCATCGTAGACCATAATATTGCTTTCCATCAGGCGAATTATGGTCAAGCGCTTACCTATTACCAAATAAAAAAAAAATGTTTACTTTTTAGAATTTTACTCATTTTTAAATATGGAGTGGACGCTTAAAGAAGACCGTGTTGCAGTTATTGCGTTGCATCGTTGCGGTTACGCGCCAATTATTTTTTTTTACATACTGAAAAATTTTAATAAATTAATATAAAAGAAAAGATTCGTTTATCGTACCATCAAACGATACAATGAAGACTCTAGTGTAGATGACAGGTCAAGAAGTGGTCGCCCTCGGTCTGTTAGGACTCCAGCAGTGATAAAAGCTGTGAGGCGCGAATTCAAAGAAATCCCAAACGTAAGCAGAAACTGTTGGCTCGTCAGATGGGGTTAAGCAGAACCAAAGGGCGGATTCAGCTTTGGCGCCAGGGGGGGGTCATGTAGTCGTGGTCAAGGCACAGTGGGTACAGATTGTGAAGTGGGTACAGATGGACCCAGCCCAGGCGGGGGTCATGACCCCCATGACCCCCCCCCCCCTGGATCCGCCCTTGGCAGAACCATGGTGAAAATGGCGTTAAATGAAGACGTATGGCTTCGGGCATATCGAAGAAAAACAGGACATCGTTTAAATGCTCTTCTAATGGACCTGAGACTAAAGAGATGTCGCGCTTTGTTGAGGCGATACGCGGGAAATTCTTTTTTCGGATGAAAAAATTTTTACCGTAGAAGAGAGATACAACAAACAAAATGAAAAGGTGTACGCACACAGTAGTGAAGAAGCGAGCAACCGTATTCCGCGTGTCCAACGAGGTCATTTTCCATCCTCGCTCATAGTATGGTTGGGAGTTTCTTATTGGGGCTTAACAGAGGTACATTTTTGTGAAAAAGGTGTAAAAACGAATGCAGTTGTGTATCAAAATACAGTTCTGACGAACCTTGTGAAACCTGTTTCTCATACCATGTTCAATAACAGGCAAGATTCGACGCCAGCTCATAGAGCGAAGAGCACACAAGACTGGCTGGCGGCGCGTGAAATCGACTTCATCCGGCACGAAGACTGGCCCTCCCAAGGGCGTACCCAGGATTTCAGCTAGGAGGGGGCAGCTCATACCTGTTTCGAGAAGATGGTCGGTCGGGTATATTGAAACAAAAAATCATGAAAATTGACCTTTATTAATTAGTTTGATTATGACACAAAACAAAATATTAAATATATATAATAATCATAATACACATATACTAATTTAAAAGTAATCTCCTCGGATTTGCCGCCGAAAATTTGTCTAAGACAGTCTTTTGAATAAACTCACTGTTTTATTTTAAATAATTGCGATGTACGCTCATCAGACATAAACCCGTAAGCCTTTCTTCACCCATGGTGCTTCTAAGCCACGTTTTAACTCTTCGAAGCGTACTGAAGGACCGTTCTACGGTCGCCGTGGTGCATGGGATAGTGCTTAAAATAATCAATGCCTTTCTGACAGCAGGGTAAAAAATATTAGCTTCGTTGAACAGATCAACTACTTCTATATCCCTTAATTGATCATCTGATAAAGCATTCTTCATCCATAAATTATGCCAAAGGTTCAGTTCTCCAGTGATATCCAGGTTATAAAATTCTTGGAATGATTCTGCGTTCTTGTGTAAGTCTGTAATGCTGGTTTTGGTCATATACAAGGGATGTAGCTTACTTAAAGCAAACGCCGGAGTATTTTCTTGGGAGAATCGAATATTCAACGATGAAATGAGTGAATCAATGTATGGTATTATCAGAGAACGCCGCCAATATTCGTTATCATTGTCAGATGGCGGATTACTTCTATGTGTTTGCTTATGAGCAAGACGTGGAACCGAAATTTCTATGTTCAAATCCATTGTAACAGCTCGCGCTTTTTGAAGCATTTCATTACTTATTTTATCAGGAAACTCGCGGTAATTTCTGAGAATGTCTTTGATATTTTTGATGTGTTCCCCCACCGAGATCATGTCGATCGATAAATCGACAGCGATCAGCTAAAGCTTGCAGTGCGTTAACTACTGGTTCTAAAACTGCTGAATATTTGGCTATTGTTTGTAGAGCAACAATAAACACTGGTTTTGTAACGGCTGAATGCAACTGATATGCAGATTTTCTGGTGGCATAATTTCCCTCTACGGATAACGTTTCTAGAGATTTCACAAGCTCTGGAAAATGTTGAGAAAACTTTCTGTTTGATTTATATTTTTCGGACCATCTCGTCTCACACAATCGTGATAGGTTTGGAGCGTAGTTTCGACGAGTAGTCGATTCTCTGAAAAACGTTATAACATCCTTAACAGTGGCGACAGTATTTATAATTTCTGGCACTGCGTTCGCATCATTCACAACAAAGTTGAGTTTGTGACTTGAGCAATGAAAATATAAAGCACGAGGAAATTTTTTTCTCAAAATAGCTTGTACGCCACCCTCTTTCCCTGCCATTGTAGAACAGCCATCGAATCCAAACCCTACGCAATGTTCTGTTGGGAGGTTAGAACTAATCAAGAAATTGTCAATTGCTTCGGCAATTGCTGAAGCATTTTGTGCTTTTAGTTCAACGAATCCTACAAATTCTTCTCTGATTTTCCTTTTGCTTTCGTCGTAGAACCGCACGCCTATTGATAGCTGTTCTTTCTCAGCTACGTCTGCTGTTTCATCAGCTAAGACAGCGTAAACCAAGGTCTTCTGAACCTCACTTATTATATTCTCCTTAATAACTTCGCCACATAAATTAATCAATTAGTTATGTATTTTTGGCGATGTGTAAACTGTATTGCGACGGCACTTTTCCAGGTGACTCTTTAATTTGTCGTCCCCTGAATTGATTCTCAACTTTAATAAATCTAATAAAACGCCCTCATCTGCTTGTTTTCCCCTAAGAGGCATATCATGTGTACCGCAAAATACTACACAGGAAATAATTGATGACAATATTTGTCTGTTTTCATCGATTGCTTTTTGGTGTCCACTTTGCAGTTGGATGTGTACAGGAACATGTTCAAGAAAATTTTTTGCATCATTTGTCGCTGTTAGGTGAAGGTTGGTCGTTGCATGCTTTCGGCAGTCTTCATGCATATTTTTGAACTTTATATATGGCCTGACCATAAATGATCCCAAAATTCCTCTCACAGTGCTGATGGGTGGAGGGAACAAAACACAATGCTTACAAACGGACCTAATAAAAACGTGGTAATAAATAAAGATTAAGATATCAATTACTTCCTATACACTTACAAGAGAGCCCCCCCTTAAACAAATCAAATAATCATATTAGGTACATACATATGTGTTTTGTTTTTTCTGTTTCCTGATATCCATTTGATGGAGTAAATCTTTCCAGTTGTTGCGCAGTAAACGTTTAATCTCGTGTCGCCGCAACTAAACTATAAGACACTATTATGGCGCATTAAATATTCGCTCGTATTAAACTCCGAACTAAATTGAATTGTATTCGAAATTTCGAACTGAATTGCCTTGCTCTGCCTCACGATCGCGCTTATATATTCAAATATTCTCGCTCCCGAAATACGTAGAAAATACTCGACTCTGTTGCCATCCTTGTCTCATACTTGCTATCACTGTCTTTACTTTCCAGAATAGTCCATGCTAGAACGTTCTTCTTTACTGGAAAAAGCACTGTCGAGTGTCGTCGTCCGTAACTAGATAGCGCTAGCGCTAGACGTTGTTTTCTCCAAATTATATTCGGCTTTAATCCTAGATGGCTCTGATTATCTCGTCGGGAGCGGAAACTACGAGATACGAAGGTTTTGCGGGAGATATAAATTATATTGCGTCGCTATTATATCGAATGTTGTAGAATATTTAATTATAGATAAAAAAAATTAAATCAAAATATCTGACTGAAAAGATGTTCTGTTTCCAACACTTCATTTTGCGCAGAGTAGGTAACACGTTTTTAATTCCCACTTGCCAGGAAAATTGACGTTTATTTTATCTTCTTGGGGAGGGCAGCTGCCCCCCCTGCCCCTACCTGGGTACGCCCATGGGCCCTCCCCCAGTCCAGATTTGAGTCGGTTAGATTACAAGATATAGCAACACTTGGAGGAAAAGGCGTGCTCAAAGCCTCATCCCAATTTGGAGTCACTCAAGACATCCTTGATTAAGGCAGCCGCCGATTATTGACATGGACCTCGTTCGTGCTGCGATAGACGACTGGCCGCGCAAATTGAAGGCCTGTATTCAAAATCACGGAGGTCATTTTGAATAAACTTTATTGTCATAAGAATCTATGTTTCGTTAAGTTCATTTTGGTATATAAATGGTTACATAATGAATAAACTTGTTTCAATTATTTCATATTAAACATATGAAAGAATTTATGACCTGACTATATAGGTATAATAATAAAACTTAATAATAAAAAATATTAAGAGAACTCTTTCTGTGTTCTGTGAAGAGAATGCTTGATGCAAAAATTTGTCAATATCAGAAAGAGTGTTACTTTTGAAAAAAAAAGGGATTGTAATAGATGTGCATTTATTTATTAGGTAGCGGCTATTGCGCATGTGCGTCAGCGGTTCATTGAGAAGGTCGCTTTATGACGGCAGTAACCCCCCAGCCAAGGGGTGGGAAGTGCGTCAATGAAAGTGGGCCCACAACATTTTATATTTAGTTCAGTTCACTAAGTAGTTGTGTACAATCAGATTGTGAAGTGATAACGACTTGTAGTTGACCAAGTTGGAAGAAAGTATAGGTGAGCAATATTATTCCATTTCATTTATCGTACCAATTCTTAACTAAAAGTAGGTACACAAAGCGTACAAAGTTAATTAAATTTAGAACGATTGTATGACACCTGTATGCTTTTATTGATCCGAAATAGCATTTACGAGTAAGTATATTTTGGAGTTGAAGGCACATTGTCTTTAATATTTTGAGGCTTTTGGTTATTAATTGTTGGTTTGAGTGTAACGACATGGTCAAAACGTCAAATTAGCCATATTGATAAAATTCGTCAAATCCTCTTTTCGTCAAATTATGTAATTTGCCAAATACGCCATTGGTCAAGTCCATGTACAGTTGCTGTAAGAAGTTTATTTAGGAGGCAAATGCTAGCCAAATTAGTAGAAGCATAAAGTCCGAAACATATTATGTCATAAGTAATATATTTTTTCCCGTCAACTATGTTTTATTTTGTTTTACTTAATTATTTGTGTAAGTCACCGTGATTAATACATTATTAGCGTGGCTTCGTTCTCGAATATTTTAAATCTAATAAATGGCTTCTAGAGTAAAGGCTGTAATTCTGTGTTTACAGTAGGTATGTGTAGATACTGAAAAGGCAAAATGAAACTATTTTATTTCTTTTTTTGCTGTTTACTGTACTTTAACCTCCTGAGAACCATAACTTTTGTTTTCGGGAATTTAATTTAAAACTTACTAGATCGATTTTATATGTCACTAGATGTTCTCAAAAAATAGAAAAAAAATGTCTGTTGGAAAATCTCGATTTTCTCAATGTGATACATATACAACATCAGTTCTGTATACCTAATGTGTAAAATGCAGTATGTTGACAATATAAAAAATATTTTATGTAATGATGGTATGTAGGTATTATTTATGTACATTTGCTACATAAATAATTTAATGCATAGTAAAACACAACTATAAAATCAAGTAACGAGGCATTTATTTTCTAATTTTAGACTAAGTAGTTTTTTGCAAACCTCAGTTAGCAGATTTATTTTATTATCTTGAAAATTACGAAGCTTTAACATAAATCTCCATATTAAATAAATTACGTTTTAACATAATATACAAAAATTATACCTACCTATCAAAATCGTATCAAAACTTTGTTGTATGAATCTCTATAAAAAAATCGTTTTTCTGTGCTTCCTTTCCTGACCTGATAGGAAAAATCGCCTCCGACTCATAGCTGATTTTTTATGATTTGAATCCCATATTTATCTGACCAATACGTATTTATAGCTGGCAAATTAATAGAACCCATTACTAGCCGACTAGGACAGGACGCCTATGAATGTTCTGAACGTCATCTCCAACTCTTCTCCTTTTTTTCAGAAGATGTTTTATTTGTGGCGTCAAGCATCTGTTCGAGAATGCTATCAGTTATATATTGTTTAAAAATCTCTTGATGAATCCGTATTCAGTACCATAAATCTTGGCTGATAAAAAAGTTTCTCTAATATAGTGAAATTACCGGTCCACTTCTGGTCCTGGCATGACTACTGTGGGTAACAGCAATAGAAGAACACAAAGAATGTGCAAATTCTGGACGGATTTTATCTTCATTCGAAGAACCAGGGTAAAAGGCTCTGCTATCATTACCAATTTGTCAAATTTCTAATTTGTCGATTGACTACATTTGACCATTTGATTGATTAAATCTGACCAATGTCGTAACACCTGTTGATTTATATACTTAAGTGTATATTGACGTTCAAATTATCATGACAATTGTTATTTCAAATGGGAAGAGTTATTATATTGAGTGACTCATGGATAGTCGCTAAAATATCAATTTTTTATACGAGACACACCAAATAACAACTTTAGTTGATGTTAAGCTTAAATGGAGTCCGAGAACTACTCCAGTCAAGAAAAAATATGCTGCGCCATGGAGCCTTGGACCCTTACTCTTGAAAAGAATAAAAACACCACCATAGTACTTTAATGCGGTTTTCTGTAAGGAAAAATTGTACTAGGATCCATGATGGAGCCTTTGCAATGGATCTAAGGGGGCGGAGGGTGGCTACCAGGTTTATATACGTTCGCGCCGAGTATACTCGTAAGCTGCTGTTGCTTACTCGTACCCGTACCTCATACATAGTCCACTTACACGACTTTGCTGCAACACCGCCTTAAACTAGGGTGATAGCTCGCAGTCCACGCGTCGACAGCTAGAGCTGTTAGCGAATTACTTGGGAGATATTGCGAGAATGGCCTACTAGAAGTCAGCGCGCGGACACCGCGCAGACCGTTTGCTTGCAACGTATGGTAGGAGTCAACTACCGAGTAGTCTGATGGCGGTAGGCTCGCTGACAGCGAGCTGTCTGCTATTATGTTGCCAATGTAAAGTATATCTGAATAGTACCAGTACTTAAAACCCATATTTGAATTATATCCTTTTTGCCAGGTGGGAGTGGGCTAAAGGTCATAGCCCATTTACACGACTCTGCTCCCACCCGGCAAAAAGAATATAATTCAAATATGGGCTTTAAATATTGTTCTTTAGATATATTTTACATTGGCATCGTAAATTAGCAGACAGCTCGCTGTCAACGAGCTTACCGCCGTCGGACTGCTCGGTAGTCGAGGCCTCGCTGGCCGCACATTGTAAACGAGCGGTCAGCGCGGTGTCCACTAATATATAATGTACTCTATGGGTGTCCGCGCGCTTACTGCTAGCAGTCGTCGCCCGCGCTGTCGCCGCTCATTCGTGTCGTGGCTCAGTCGGCCAGTATTCACCAAGCAAACCGCACGCTCGATCTCTTTCAAAGTGTTTTCGCAAATATTGAACTTATCCATTATGAACAAAGAAAAACTTATAGAAGAAGTGCGAAGATACCCCCATCTGTATGATGCCAGTGACGCAAAATACGCAGATTCTGTGAAATGGGATCAAACATCGAAATCCATTGCTAGAACGTTGTCTTCAACAGGTATGTACCTATCTACGTACAATCTACACTATATTAAAAAAGTATTTGTTTTATGGTTGATTTTTTAAAAAACATTTTCACTCCATAACCTTAAAATTATGATACCGAAAATTTTGATTTCGAAATACTTAGTCTGTCCGCTTATAACTCCAGAAGAATTGATAAAACTAAAGTACCTACATGTTGAAATAATAACTTTTTGTTGAAGTCTATAAGTTATTTATTTTTCATAAAACAAAATATATTTTTAAAATGTAGGATAAAAATTGCTAACAATTTTTGCCTCGTTATTAAATATTTTGATGCAGCCATGGAACTTGCCCTTCAGGAGATTGAAAGTAAGATGAAAACAAGTCTCGAATATTAAAAGCATTTTCTGCACTGTTCATTCCGTTTTCTAGTAGGATAGGTCAGGAAACCATTCTCGTTGCGATGTATTGGTTGCTGTATCTCATGTTGATTTAGATACTCTATTTCATAACTTCGCATAATATTATGTAAAATACATGTCGCTAGTATCAATGTGTCAACGTGTATCGGGTTCATATTAATACTTTTGTTATAAATGCCAAATTTCTGGTACAATATTCCAAATGCATCTTCCACAACTTTGCGTGCTCGTGATAAACGTTCATTGAATATAGTTTGTGCTTCAGATAAGCCACGACAACGAGGGTATGGCTTCATTAAATTTTTCATTAGAGGAAACGCCTCATCTCCTATGAAAACATGTGGTATATCTCTGTTACTTCCAGGTAGTGGTTTATCGTTTGGAATATGTAATGAATTACTTTCAAGACGTCTCGCAAATTTCGAAGATGCAAATATTCCACCGTCACTATTTCTACCAAAAGCACCTATATCAACTATTATAAATCTATATTTATCATCAACCACAGCCATTAGTACAACATAAAAGTGTTTTTTATAATTAAAATACAGCGAACCACTATTAGCAGGTGCTATGATGTTGACATGCTTCCCATCTATAGCGCCGATGCAATTTGGAAAATTCCATCTGTCTTGAAATCCTTCAGCTATACTTTTCCACCGCTCTTCAATTGGTGTTGGAATAAAAATTCCCATTAATTTGTTTATGATTGCGTTACATACTTCTTGTATAATTGATCGGATTGTTGATTCGCCTAATCTAAAGCTTGAACTCAACGTCCTTGCCGAACTTCCCGTGATCATGTATCTGAAACAAAACTTCTCTATTAATATTCCTAAGCAAAAATAAAGACACCTTAGCACACAAAAATCTTCAATTCGATTTTTTCTTTTTAAGAATCAGAGTGCAAGAAAACCTGGGCAAACTTAAGAGAAAGCTATAGAAGGGCAGTTGTTAAGAAACGCACAAAAAGTGGTCAGGCTGCTACCTCATCAAAAAAATGGCAAGAAGAGATGTCTTTTTTGTTGCCGCATATGAAACAAAGAAAAACCATTTCATCATTAACGGAAGATGACACTGAAGTTGACTCAAATTTTGATGTTAACGAATTGTTGTCAAATCACGATGATTCTTCTATGTCATTGAATGACCCAGAACTTAATATCACCAACCGACCAGAATCTTCTGCAACAAATACGTCAGCAAACTCTCCTTTGTTTCCGAATATACCTAAAAGAAAGCGATTGAAAGGGACCCAAGAATGTACCTCAGCATCAGCTCAACTTTTACAATATTTACTTAAAGAAAAAGAGGCAAAAAAGGATGTCGAGATTGACCAGTTTTTTTCGAGCATTGCAACAACAGTAAAAAAATTAAATCGTTACAGCCAATCTGTTCTGAAGTCTAGAATATTCAACATGGTGTCTGAATTTGAATTACAAGAAATCCAGGAACAAACAAATTTTTATGCTGGTGCTTCACGATACAATACCGATATTAAAAGTCCTTCGGTTTATAACACCCACAATATAGGACCTTCGGGTTATAAGACCGACAATACAGGACCTTCGGGTTATAACATACACAATATAAAATCTTCGGATTATAACCTCCATAATGCAGGCCCTTCGGGCTATAATACCCGCACTGCAGGATCTTCAGATTATAATATTCATAATGCAGGCCCTTCCGACTCTAATACCCCCATGAATGCAGAGCTTTCAGGCAATAATCCTCCAGTTTTAGAAGAACCGATATTGAACAGTGAATTGCCTAATGCTAAACAGAATAATGATTCCTAAGATTAATATGTGCTAGAATACTGTTTCTGTATTAATTTTGAGTTAACATTGTAAGCGATAAATGGAAATAAGAGACTGATAGTTACTAATTTTTTTAAATAAATATTTACTGATTTACAAGAAAAAAATATCTTTCACTTACCTTAACGTGACGGCAATTTTTTCTATTGGTGTTATTGCTTGTCTGAATTTCGTATTCTTCTTTGTTATGTCTTTTTCAATAAATGATAATATGTAGTCAAATAAATACCGATTCATATGAAAGTAAATGTAGAACTTTTCTTCGTCATCTAATAGGTGTCTCTGGATCTGCCAAAATTCTCCTTCTGCACGCCTTGCTTTCAGCATTTTATGCACCCAAAATCTTCGACTGTTATTTCTTGCGCTTCTCTCTTCATCCTCAAGTGCAATAGCAATAATTGCTAGCTCGCGGGTTGTGAATCGGGACATAGTAAAAAATACGTGTTGCTTCAATGGAAACCGATCGCGAACTGTGTTTATCGCGAAAAGCGAAAGCGGTCGGCGGGTGGACAGCTGGCTGTCTGCTAGTTGTCGCCGCGTGGACTGCTGGGTGCCTGCTAGCTGCCGACGCGTCGACTGCGAGCAGTCGTCTTAGTTTAGGGCGGTGTTGGGTGGGAGCGGTGATGGAGCAGAGTCGTGTAAGTGGGCTATGACCTTAAGACTTTTAATGTTATATTTTAAATAGAAACAGAGAGGACGATGCGGTGGAACGATGTGTGATGGTGCCGACGGTAGGGCGCATGGAAGGCGCTCTGGACGGACCATGCTGACCGGACTTGGGGTGGTACTAGCGGCTCTGGTGGTAACCACCAATTCATGTTACTTGTTTCCTAGTGGTGAGTGTATTATTTGCTACTTTTACCGGAAATAAATAAAATTAAATAAAGTTTAAAATAAAGGGGTATACAATTATGAAACGTTTACAAGGCACACTTACACTAAGAATTAATACACATTATTTTTGCTGTTTTCGATCTCCTTTTTCATAAAAATACACGTCAGTGACTTGAAAGCTTGATTAAAGTTTCGAACTAATGTCTGGTCATTTATGGGAAACGTTGCTTATCATAAAGCTTTATATAAATCAATCCGAAGCTGCTGAAGTACGACTGTTATAAAAATTTACTAGACATAGAAGAGAAGGAGAATGCGTACGTGAAGATGAGTACACATTTAAAGAGACTCCGAATAAGTTACACCTGGGCCACAAGTCTCAGGCACTGCTTTGTGTTTCTACCTTGAGGTATGTTTGAACATGTGATATACCTGGTCCTCGCCCTAAGAATTTTGTCTGTAGACGTGCCAGACCCGTGCCGCGGTGTGAGTTGTGGCCCGGGAGCGCTGTGCCGGCCGACGTCCGATGGCCGCTCGTACAACTGCGAGTGCCCCACCTCCTGTCCCAGCTACGGCGACCACGAGGGCTCCCGGCCGCTGTGCGCTAGCGATGCGCGCGACTACCCCGGCGAGTGTGAGATGCGACGCGCTGCCTGCGATTCCAACACCAACATCACTTTCAAATACATCGGCAAATGTGGTAAGTTTTGGTGATTTTAAAACTATAGTTATCCGGGTTTTCCACTCGAATTGGAGTCGTCTTGGCAACATTGTACATGAAAATGTTTTGGTGGGACACAAGAGTTAAGCGTGTCTTTCCGCCAGCTGCGCTTTCTGCACGGGCGCCTGCGGTATTGTGACCTATGGCCTATGGCCTAAAGTGTTTTACTTTAGTTTTTTGACTGATTGGAGTACGTATTATTGTCAACTGCTTGTGCCAGTTCGGCGACCACGAGGGCTTCCGGCTGCTGTGCGCCAGCGATGCGCGCGACTACCCCGGCGAGTGTGAGGTAAGATGTGTCGCCTGCGACTCCAATACCAACATCACTTTCAAATACATCGGCAAATGCGGGGAGTTTTGGTTGTTTGAAAACAATATTGCAGTTTACATTAGACACCATGATATTAGGATAATAACGTCTGGGTTTCAAAATGACAATACAAAGGTGAAAGTTACTTCTCCATATAGGCACTACAATTAAAGTTGGAAAACCGGAAAGCCTTGTAGTTTAAGCAAGAGCTCTACTGGGTAGGGTAATCAGTTGAAGACCGGCAAGGCAAGCTCGATGGCGTAGGTGGTTAGCGCGTTTGGCCTGCGATTATGGAAGTCAAGCAACTTTCGCAATGGTCGGTCATTGGATAGGTAACCAAAAACTTATTATCTTGAGGTCTTCCGTGCTTCGGAAGGTTACGGCGTTGGCCCGGCTGCATCCGCGGTCATTAGCACCTACCAATCCAAAGGACAAGGCCCAATCTCCCTAATCCATCCATAGGCAAAGCCTGTGACCCAGCAGTGGGGACATTAATAGGCTGATGACGAAGGGAGGCAGGAGCGATACTTTTTTTAGAGTCTGTTGCAAATGTGACCCAGATAGCTCAATATATTTGGAACTTAAATGCTAGATAAGGCATTATCTGTCACATTTTTTTCATGGTCAGTATCATCAATTCGAATCGAAGGAACTGGTAAAACTGTTTCAGATCCATGCGCAGGAGTGACTTGTCCTGATCCAGAAGTTTGCCAGTTGGACGAGCGGCGAGCGCCGTCGTGCCGCTGCGCTGAGCCGTGCCCGCTGGAATTCTCACCCGTGTGTGCGTCCGACGGGAAGACATACTCAAACGAGTGTCAGATGCACCGCGAGTCTTGCCGCGCAAGAAAACAGTTGAAGATTATATTCAAAGGACAGTGCAGTTCCGGTGGGTTTAAGTGCATTCGATTTAAACCTGATGCAATGATAATAGTGTGATTTAGTAACATATTACGACCTCCGTGGCCGAGTGGTTTGTACGCCGGTTTCATGGTGTCGCCGACTCGAGAGGTCCCGGGTTCGAATCCCGGTGGGGGCAGATGTTTGTGTGATGAATACGAGCATTTGTATTCCAGTCATGGATGTTTAATATATATTTCTATAAAAATAAACTTATTTAAGTACAATATATGTATTCTATCCGTTAACCTAGTATTTCTTAACACAAGCCTTACAGCTGACTTTTTGGGGCTTGCTAGGCTAATTGGTGTGAGTGTTGGAAATATTTTATTTTTTATTTTTTATTATCTCTTGATTTTTTATGAGAGGTGAATTATAATAACACGCGTATTTCATAATAAACTTTGTTGACGGTTCATGTCATGGAATATTTGTTCCAGCGCGAAGGACCAATACCATTAGGAGTTGAGGAATCTAACCAATTTTCGATTCCAATGACGTAACTCAATGATCGACGGGTGGTTATTATAAAAGCGAACAATTAAAAATGGACATGTTAGCTAAACAAGATGATAAACGTAACTTCGCAAACTTTTGGAAATCTACAAATAAACTAAATAACAAGCCGGGTGTGCCTGTGAGCGTCAATGATGTCAGCGATCCGAAGCAGGTGGCGGATATGTTTAGGGAGCAGTATACGGCGAAGTCACCATTGGGACCATCACGGTCGCAGAGCGGTGGGAATCAGTGTGGGGAGGGCCGGTTTGAGAAAGTGCCTTGTATTAAATTTACAGCTAAATCTGTCAGAAATGTTATAACTTTAATGTCGAAAGGAAATCACCTGGGCACGACAATCTGAGTATTGAGCACCTCAAGCATGCTGGACCCCATCTTTCTAGAGTTCTAGCAATGTTTTATACTTTTTGTGTTAGTCACTCGTATTTACCTGCTGAAATGATGAAGACTGTGGTGGTGCCAATTCTGAAGTGCAAAACTGGCGACATTGGTGACAGGAACAATTACAGACCCATCTCCTTGGCTACAGTGGTGGCTAAGGTACTTGACGGTTTGCTTAATTCTGAGATAGATAAATACTTAAATATTCACGATAATCAGTTTCATTTTAAGTCTGGATTGTCAACGGAGACAGCAATTCTATGTTTAAAGCAAACCGTCAGATACTATACAGATCGAAAGACGCTTGCTTCCTGGACTTAACGAGGGCATTTGACCTGATTTCTTACGACATCCTGTGGCATAAATTAAACAGTACTTTTATGCCGACTGATCTTGTTAGTCTGTTCAAATACTGGTACGAAAATCAGGTCAATGTGGTCCGCTGGTCTAATGCATATTCGGATCCATATAGGCTGGAGTGCGGGCTGAGGCAGGGAGGGCTGACCTCTCCCAAGCTCTATGCGGCATAACTATATTATTGAGACAAACGTCATCAATATGACTGCTACATGCGTGCTGCTGAGCTCCTCCAGAAGGGCATTCACATACAAGTTGAAGAGCTTGGGAGAGGGTTATGCGGATGACATGGTGCTGCTGAGCGCTTCAGTGTGTGGTTTGAATAAGTTGCTGTCTATCTGTGAGCGTTACGCACTTAGTCATGGGTTGTTGTATAACTCGAAAAAGAGTGAATGTATGGCTTTTCGGGCCGGTGGTGGGCGTCTGGATTATGTGCCAGCTATTAAACTAAACGGCTTACCACTTCAAGTGGTTGATCGTTTCAAATATTTGGGCCATTGGGTTACCGCCGACTTGAAGGACAGATATAGAAAGGGAGCGCAGGGCGCTGTCTGTTAGGGCAAACATGATTGCACACAGATTTGCTCGCTGTTCAGGTGATGTTAAAATTACACTGTTTAGAGCTTTTTGTACATCTTTTTATACCTTTAGCCTGTGGACCAATTACACAAAGAAACAGTACATCGCCTTGCGGGTCCAATATAATAATGCTCTGAGGGTATTGTTGGGGCTGCTTCGATTCTGCAGCGCTTCAGCTATGTTTGCACAATACCGTGTGGATTGTTTTTATACAATCATGCGTAAGCGATGCACTTCTCTCGTCAGCAGAGTACGGAGCAGCCCTAACACAATCCTGAAACTCTTTTCGAGTAGATTTGACTGTCACTATATGAACCATGCGGCTATGATTCATGTAGTGACTATATAAAATTTTGTTATTTATATATAATACTAGCGGCCCGCCCTCGCTTCGCTTCGGTGTAGAGCTGAAGCGTAGACTACAGTTTTTATTCTCAGGCTTGTTTTATACACAATGACATTCATCTATGATTATTCTTATACCTGCATGCAAAGTCTCAGCCTGTTCGGTTTTAAAATTGACAAAGTTTCATACAAACTTTCATTCCCTATTTTATCCCCTTGGGGGTAGAATTGATCAAAATCCTTTCTTAGCGGATGCCTACGTCATAACATCTACCTGCATGCCAAATTTCAGCCCGATCCGTCCAGTGGTTTGGGCTGGGCGTTGATAGATTACTACGTCAGTCAGTCACCTTTGAGTTTTATATATATAGATTATAAAAAAACTGAAGATGGTATATTTATCTTTTCCAAACTTCTATTGACATCACGTCGCTCAATTGTTTTGCCTTCCCAGAATCTCTCCACTAACATTTGAAATTTATGGTATGGTATTAAAGTTCAAATTGACTTTTAAGTATTATTACGAATCGTTTGTATGGGAGTAAAGAAAAGTTTTGTTTTTTGACATTTTCAGGCATTTTTTTAATTTTTATCTTCGTAAGAACCATCCTCGTACTTCAAGGAATATTCTAAAAAAAAATCAGCCAAATCGGTCAAGCCGTTTTCATGTTATGTCGTGACAACGGAAAACGGGTTTCATTTTTATATATATAGATAAGCATTAATCTCTACCAAATTAATATAACTTTGAAATTAAATTCTGACATTTTAATTCATACATTTAAATTTTATTTTACCATTTTAAATTTTGATATTTAATTTTTATTTGACTATTTTAAATTTTGACATTTAATTTTTAATTTTACCGTTTTAAATATTGACATTTTATTTTTGAAATTCTGAAACTGTTAATATTTTAGGTGTGAAACCGATTGAATTTAATTTAATTTTTGTTTTAAATGTAATTGTATGTGGAGATGTAATTTAATTTATTTTTATGTATCATAATTATCACTATTTATTATTATTTTGTCATTGGCATGCTATGATCTTTATGATTGAAATAAATGAATTATTATTATTAATATGGAAACGACTTCATTAAATAAAGTGACGCGTTAGGTGTGAACCCGTGCGCGGAGGTAGAATGCCGTCACGGTGCTGAGTGCCGCGTGGAGGGCGGTGGCGCGGTGTGCGCTTGCCCGCCGGCGTGCGAGCCGGTGCTGCGGCCCGTGTGCGGCTCCGACGCGCGCACGCACGACAGCGAGTGCGAGCTGCGCCGCGCCGCTTGCCTGCTGGGCCGCGAGCTGCGCGTTTTGCACGCCGGCGCCTGCGGTATGTCACATGTACTCTTAGTACGAGTTTTACAATTAGGAAAACTATGATAGTTTTCGTGAGCTCGCACTTGTACTAAGGGCAGCTAAGGGTTTAAATCTATCATTAAATCATTAGCGTCTTCATAAATTTTAAGTATATTTGGTTACTTTTCACCAAAACGGACATAGAAACATAATTTACAATTACGAAAACTATGATAATTTTCGTGAGCTTAAACTCGTACTAAGGGTACTGTTGTGGGAAACTCGAGCCCCTCTACTCACTGAAGGCCCGTGTTTGATCTATTGTGAAACACTGGAGTCTCTATACTTATTGGAGTTTGTGATAGCATTTTTTTCTCCGTTTATAATGTAGATGTAGAGTCCAAGCCCCTAGTGCCAAGTAGACGACATTCTAACATCTAATTTCAATTCATTTGTCACATACTTACACTTAAAACAAGGGCTTTTCTGATTTGCATTCATAATATAATAATATCGGTTTTTATTATATTATGCATATAAATGCCTTATATATATTTTTACAGGTTCCAACGGCGTTTGCGCCGGCCGAGTCTGCCCGCACGGGGGCGAGTGCATCGCATCCGGCGGGCGCGGCGTTTGCCGCTGTCCTCGCTGCTCGAACGAGTTCGCGCCCGTGTGTGGGTCGGACGGAATATCGTACGGCAACCGCTGCAAGTTGCAATTGGAGGCTTGCCGGCATCGACGCGACGTGCAAGTGCTGTACGACGGACCTTGTAGTATGTGTTGACCTTTTAATTTGTGGGTTGCTCATAGTTTTGCGTTTCCAAATTGAAAAAGAGTGACAAGCAAAATTCATTAGCTTAGCCACAGCTGTTTATAAGTGCGTCATTCAGCGGATTGTGACCCGTAATAAGTACCTAATTGAAAATGTCTGTTTCTCGGACGAGTTTGCACCCGTGTGTGAATCGGACGGAATATCGTACGGCGACCGCTGCAAGTTCCAATTGGAGGCTTGCAGCCATAGACGTGACGTGAAAGTGCTGGAACTCTTTTGTGAAACCAAAATACCCAACGTATGAAAATGCAACGAATAAATATATGAGGGTCAGCAATAGCTGCCTCCGATATTAATTCGTCCGTACATACATCCGTCAGTCAGCGGGTAATAGGTATCCATGACGATCCATAAGGCTGACAGTTTAAATTTGTGAAAAATTGTTCAATTTCGATTTAACTAGAACTAGATTTAGGCCATACAATAATGTCATATTGACATTGGCGTTTTTCTATGGGTTGAATGAAGATTTAGCAAAATTACTGCAAGTGGACCTATGTAATATTAAGTTAAAATACCTACAAAATATTATGTTTTAGACGGCTGCGAGAACAAGAAGTGCGAATTCTACGCAGTTTGTGAAAGTGACGGCGTGTCTGAAGCTAGCTGCGTTTGTCCGAAACATTGTGAGGAGGGAACAGTGAGTAAATCATCATTTTATACTCTTAAAACTTTTCTCAAATGTGGAAATTATGGAAAGCACGTTATTAATATAGTAATAAATGTATTTATCCTGTAAACTTGATCACGATGCAGCTACCATTGTTGAAAAGGTTGCACACAAAGCCATTATAAGCGTCATCAAATCGTACATTACAGGTTTTCACAATTTTTGTTGTGTAACATCTTTCCCCTCGCTTTCCTGCAATTTGTGGGAGTGATTTCGTGAAATGGGACGGAAGTGTGTAACAGGAAGTCGCGAAAGCGCGCGCTATATAATTTGATTTTAGAACATAATGTTCAAATAGCTTATTCCTTTTGTAGTAGGTTTTTTTTTTTACTAATATAAGGTGAGGTTTCAAATGTTACACATCCATGGATGGAATGGATTCCAATACCATGCAGTACTCAGTACCTAAAGGCTTCCTGTGGTTACATGAAAATGGCATTATGCTTAATACTATTTTTAACAGGAAACGGAAGAAGTGTGCGGCAACGACAACCAGACGTACAGCAGCGTGTGCGCTCTACGCGACGTCGCTTGTCGCGAGAAACGGAGGCTGCATATAAAACACATGGGGTCTTGCGGTGAGTAATTTACAGATTTCATATCTTGAAAAACATATAGTACTTCTAGTGCAGTCATTGAAGCGAAAAATACGGCCTTACCTCCGATTTTTTTTGCTGTGAACCGATTTGCAAGAAATTTTGGAATTAGGCTCATCTTACCCTTAACTTCAAAAGTGAAAATGATCTGAACTCCGCCTATTATTTTTAAGGGGTGTAAACAACCCCTTAATGGAAAAATTTACATTGAGCCATTTTATCGCTAGAAAACATGTCTAATAGTAAGTGATGAAATTGTAAAGTATTTTCTAACATAATTACCTCATATTAAAATCATTTCAACCCATATATATATATTTAATATTTAAAAATAATTTAATTTAGAGTAAAAAATTGCCATTTATTGAATAAAATATTTAATTATTATATAAAATTGTACTATTAATATTAAAATATAATATTATTATTCATGACTCAATGTCGGAGTCGCTGTCACATTCAACATCTTCTGGCTGAATTGGAGGGCTATTTTGGCAGATATCTCCACTGCACGTTCCACAGGTACTATTATTACAAAACAGACCAACTTTTCTGCATCCGCAAGACGCTCCACATCCTTTTTTGCAGTTGCAAAAAATCATTTTCAGCAGTTCTTGTGGTGCGGGTGGATCTACAGACTTAAGTGGATTTAATAAACCGTCATTCATGACCCACCCCCTATCCGTTGGATGAATGATGATGATGATGATGAAATGATGAAATGTGTTATATATACATATAAGAACGTTGGTATGTATTCATGCCACACATTACAATAGTTGTGGGTCTCTATTATACTGCGTTCTTTCATATTGCTCCAAATTTTCACACTCCGAAATTTTCAGTTACTAAGTAGAAAAAAATATGATAAGTTTTTGGACCATAACTCCTTCAATTTTCATGCTATCACAATTTATGTAAAACCATTGTAAAGTTAATTAAGAGAGCTACAACATCCTTCATTGCAATATATATTAAAAAACCTTTTTCTAAAACGGTGAAGGGTTAAAGGGCTTAAGAGAGGCTGTGATTGCGCTGCCACGCGCTCTTTAAACAATCATATCTCCGTCAATTTTATTTTGACAGAAAAAACAAAAAAACCAAATTATTTGTTAGAAAATTACCTAAATTTTTAAATCGTACACTTTTATACGTATCTGTCGTCATTTTTGAGATATTATGAAAAAAAGTAGGTAAATTTGACATTGTGGGTTTACCTATAATGCGAAGAGATGGCGCTGCCTTGCAGCTTAAGAATAGCTAGAAAGAATTTCGACGCGGTCCGTGAGGGCCGCGGTAGCATAATTGGTCAGTGCATTCGCCCGGATTGCGAAGGGTGCAGGTTCGAGTCCCGTCTGCTGCCTGGTCCGCGTGGAATTTTTTCTAGTTATATTTTCTTTAGATTTAAACATCAAGCAGTTACATGCTTTAAAAATAATAAAAATTATAACTATAATTGCTATTTCTTCTTTCAAATGTTTAATACTTGTAAAAGTATTCATTTGACATTGTGGGTTTACCTATAATGCGAAGAGATGGCGCTGCCTTGCAGCTTAAGAATAGCTAGAAAGAATTTCGACGCGGTCCGTGAGGGCCGCGGTAGCATAATTGGTCAGTGCATTCGCCCGGATTGCGAAGGGTGCGGGTTCGAGTCCCGTCTGCTGCCTGGTCCGCGTGGAATTTTTTCTAGTTATATTTTCTTTAGATTTAAACATCAAGCAGTTACATGCTTTAAAAATAATAAAAATTATAACTATAATTGCTATTTCTTCTTTCAAATGTTTAATACTTGTAAAAGTATTCATTTGACATTGTGGGTTTACCTATAATGCGAAGAGATGGCGCTGCCTTGCAGCTTAAGAATAGCTAGAAAGAATTTCGACGCGGTCCGTGAGGGCCGCGGTAGCATAATTGGTCAGTGCATTCGCCCGGATTGCGAAGGGTGCGGGTTCGAGTCCCGTCTGCTGCCTGGTCCGCGTGGAATTTTTTCTAGTTATATTTTCTTTAGATTTAAACATCAAGCAGTTACATGCTTTAAAAATAATAAAAATTATAACTATAATTGCTATTTCTTCTTTCAAATGTTTAATACTTGTAAAAGTATTCATTTGACATTGTGGGTTTACCTATAATGCGAAGAGATGGCGCTGCCTTGCAGCTTAAGAATAGCTAGAAAGAATTTCGACGCGGTCCGTGAGGGCCGCGGTAGCATAATTGGTCAGTGCATTCGCCCGGATTGCGAAGGGTGCGGGTTCGAGTCCCGTCTGCTGCCTGGTCCGCGTGGAATTTTTTCTAGTTATATTTTCTTTAGATTTAAACATCAAGCAGTTACATGCTTTAAAAATAATAAAAATTATAACTATAATTGCTATTTCTTCTTTCAAATGTTTAATACTTGTAAAAGTATTCATTTGACATTGTGGGTTTACCTATAATGCGAAGAGATGGCGCTGCCTTGCAGCTTAAGAATAGCTAGAAAGAATTTCGACGCGGTCCGTGAGGGCCGCGGTAGCATAATTGGTCAGTGCATTCGCCCGGATTGCGAAGGGTGCGGGTTCGAGTCCCGTCTGCTGCCTGGTCCGCGTGGAATTTTTTCTAGTTATATTTTCTTTAGATTTAAACATCAAGCAGTTACATGCTTTAAAAATAATAAAAATTATAACTATAATTGCTATTTCTTCTTTCAAATGTTTAATACTTGTAAAAGTATTCATTTGACATTGTGGGTTTACCTATAATGCGAAGAGATGGCGCTGCCTTGCAGCTTAAGAATAGCTAGAAAGAATTTCGACGCGGTCCGTGAGGGCCGCGGTAGCATAATTGGTCAGTGCATTCGCCCGGATTGCGAAGGGTGCGGGTTCGAGTCCCGTCTGCTGCCTGGTCCGCGTGGAATTTTTTCTAGTTATATTTTCTTTAGATTTAAAAAGTAGGTTTTTTAAAAATTTTAAATTTTGGTTTTTCTTTTAAACGTGACTTTTTTGAAAAATATGTGTCCTGAAGCAGCCAAACTGATACTATCTATCAAACTCTTCATAATAAAGCTAATTGTAGGCGGAATACGATTAATTTAATTTTGGTGGAAATGGCACTTATGAAACCCATTGATTTAAAAGAAAAAACATTAGATGCTCCCCTTATTTGCAATACAGCTCACTTATTTTACGTGCAAAAGACTTTTGATAGTGCTCATTTTAAAGCTTATTTCAAGCACTACAAAACCCTTTTGTATTAGAATGCATAAAATGCATCTGCTCGCCGCTAGATGGCATTGACCACATCGATTAAATTTCAGACAAAATAAAAAACGGCTTTGATCTTTAATATCTAGCTTAATATTGCACTTAGAATACTTTATAAAAAACCAAATTGTTCATTGTTTTACCTGCTACAATTCTGTTTTTTATAAAATTTTCGATAAAACTTATATTTTTGGAGATATTTGCAAAAAACCGATGAAAAACGGGAAATTTTTTCGAATTTTCAATTGCCAATAACTTGAAAAGTATTGGATTTTTTGAAAAACTTTATAGATGATTTAAAATTAGGCTTTCTATCGATATCCGAGGTTATTTTGAAAAAAAAATAATTCACCCCCGAGAAGGGGTGGCAACCACCCCCAGGGTGGTTGCGGAGTTAAAATCATTTTCACTCTTGAAGTTAAGGGTAAGATGAACCTAATTCCAAAATTGTATGCAATTCGGTTCACAGTAAAAAAAATCGGAGCAATAATGCTTCAATGACTGCACTATTCGGAGATTTAAAAAGACGCGTGCTCATTCGACGGAAAACGCGCGTCTGCGCGTGACCAACGCTGATTGGTGCGAGCGCATTCTCGCGAATCCGCGCGCTCACTAATGAACCTACGCGTCATCAGTCGGAAATTAGCCTGTGATGATAGATTAACTGGCAAGTGATGCAATAGCACTGCCGCTGATAAAAGCGTATAATACGCGAATTTTTTTGTGTTTGTCTTCTCTACACGTGACAGATGCATCTGCAGATGCCATCTTTAGATGCGTCCGCCGACGTATAGGCCGTAGTTTGCGCGTCTGTGGTAGGTATTTAACGTCCGCAGATACGTCTGCTATCAATTCGTTAGTTGTCGGTTCTTGTGGTACGCAACAAAGGGCTTCAGCGCGGACGTCCGGCGTGTCTGTTCACACATCTCACGACGCATCGCATCGCATACTGGTGTTGCGAATAAGAGTGGATGCGTCCTTGTAATTAATTTTTGCTCGTTTGTTACTCTACTTCGCCGAAATGGCTAATAACGACGACCTACGTGGCCGAGTGGTTTGTACGCCGGTTTTCATGGTGTCGCGGACTCGAGAGGTCCCGGGTTCCAATCCCGGTGGGGGCAGTTCTTTGTGTGATGAATACGAGCATTTGTACTTCAGTCATGGATGTTTAATATGTAATTCTATAAAAATATACTTATACACAGTCAGGTCATAAGTATTGTCACACACAGAAAAACTTTTCTTTTAGAATGCTGGCCACAAAAAAGTTTATTGAATTCGAATTTCGAATTGTTCATGAAAATAAAAACGTATACTTTTTAGAATTTTACTCATTTTTAAATATGGAGTGGACGCTTAAAGAAGACCGTGTTGCAGTTATTGCGTTGCATCGTTGCGGTTACGCGCCAATTCAAATATTTGACATACTGAAAAATTTGAATATAACCAAAAGATTCGTTTATCGTACCACCAAACGATACAATGAAGACTCTAGTGTATATGGCAGGTCAAGAAGTAGTCGCCCTCGTTCTGTTAGGACTCCAGCAGTGATAAAAGCTGTGAAGGTGTGACGTTGTCAGACGTGTGGACGGCTCGTGGTGATCCATCTGCTGATGCATCTGTCGACGTCTCCAACGTGTAAATGAGGCATCAGACATACACATACATCAAGTACCACAAAATCAATATGTTCTCGGTGAATTTAATGATGAATCATAATTCGAGCAGATAAAGTTCTAAATCAGTCGAAAATATGTTTTTTGTTAACTTGACCTGTGGTTGTCTCTACAGACGTAAGATAGCATTTAGTTAGAAGTTTGATAGAACGTATAGTGCGATTCAAACTTAATTGTGACTGCGAAGTTAGTGCAAGTTGCGGCGCACTAAATGAAATGTAGGGTGACTGAGGTACGCGCGGGAAATCTCTGAATTTAAACCTGTACCATCAAGTACGAGCAACTGCGAGAAAGTATTCATATTGTCACGTCATAATGAGAAATTTCTGCCTAATGACGAGTGCCAGGTGTCAGCACTGTGGCGAAAGGTCTACTCATCCGTCAAATCGCATAGGTAATTGTATGTAGACATAGTCTATGGATCAATTTTAATGCTAGTTCGTTTAGTTCCCACCAAAGGCTTTATACAAAAGACCTCATGTTACAGTAGCGCCAACTGGTGACGTAAATTTTCGTAAACACCCTCATTCTTATAAAAATTAACCTCATTAGTTGGCGCTACTATGGCATGAGGTCTTTTCTGTATGAAGCTTTTGGCGCTGCTTAGTTCCAATAACCATGGCGTTGGCGATATACGAACAAGGATCTGTCAAAGTTCGTGCTTGGGCCTATGGTCATAGCTGCCTTCGCTGCTGACTATAAAGTTTAATACGCACTGTATTACTCTAGAGTTCTGCGCTGGCGTCCCATGTCTGACTGGAACTTGGTGTTGTAGAGGCGCTGAAGCCGAGCGCGAGCACGTGTAATAATAATAATTTTTAAGAAAAAGATCACATTACATTCAAATAAAAAGTGAACATGCGGAAAATGTCTTTGTTTATATTCAGTGGTTTGAACGGACGGGTATTTCTATAGAGCCCTGCCCTGGCGTCCAATATCCAGCAGTGTCTGGATTTGGTGCGCGCGGGGGACAATCCGATAAAATAATTACAGGTTTGATCGAACGATATTACTGTGGAATCTTGAGCTAGCGTCCAATGTACGGTCGGAACTTGGTGCGCGCGAGGGCAATGCGCTAGCGCAACCCCTTGCGCTGAAGCTGAGCGAAACCGTGTGCTCGAATACGCGGCAAACTTTTCTTTCTTAACATTCTGACGGTAGACGATATTTCTCTAGAGTCCAATATCAAGCTGGAACTTAGTGCGCGTGCGAACAATGCGGTAAAATAGAGATTTTATTGAACGATATTTCTGAAGAATCTTCATCGTCGTTCAATGCCCTGCTGTGCTGGGACTTGGTGCGCGCGGGGGTCAATCCGATAAAATAATAAGAGGTTTGATCGAACAGTTTTTTTGTGGAATCTTGAGCTGGCGTCCAATGTCCGGTCGGAACTTGGTGCGCGTGCGAACAATGCGGTAAGATAGAGATTTTATTGAACGATATTTCTGAAGAATCTTCGTCGTCGTCCAATGTCCTGCTGTGCAGGGACTTGGTGCGCGCGGGGGGCAATGTGCTTGCGCAACCCTTTGCGCTGAAGCTGACCGAACCCGTGTGCTCGAACACGCGGCAAACTTTTCTTTCTTAGCATTCAGTTTCGGTTTGAACGGATGGTATTTCTCTAGAGTCCAATGTCAGGCTGGAACTTGGTGCGCGTGCGGATAATGCGGTAACATAGAGATATTATTGTACGATATTTCTGAAGAATCTTCATCATCGTCTAATGTCCTGCTGGGCTGGGATTTGGTGCACGCTGGGGGAAATCCGATAAAATAATTAGAGGTTTCATCGAATGTTATTTCTGTAGAATCTTGTGCTGGCGTCCAATGTCCGGCCGGAACTTGGTGCGCGCGAGGGCAATGTGCTTGCGTAACCCCTTGCGCTGAAGCCGAGCGCGAGCCCGTGTGCTCGAACACGCGGCAAACGTTCGTGCACGAATGCGCATTGCAGAAGGCGGCGTGCGAGGCAAGAATGCGCGGCGAACAGCCGTTACACGTTGCCTACTATGGGGAGTGCGCCGACGCACAGGACGACAATGCTACTGCGGGTATGTATCATCATCAGCCTATTAAGGTCCCCACTGTTGGGGTACAGACCTTCCCTATGGATGGAATAGAGAGATTTGTACATGACTTACCACGCGGGTCCGTTGCGGATTGGTGGGTGCTAACGACTCCAGATTCAGCCGGGACCAACGGCTAAGCATGCCTTCCCAAGCACGGAGGAGCGCAAGATAGTAAATTTTTGGTCATCCATCCAATGACCGACCACTGCGAAAGTTGCTTAACTTCAGCGGTCGCAGCCAAACGCGCTAACCGCTTGCATCATAGAGCTCTTCATATGTAAGATGTAAACATATTTCTCATATCTTTTTATAGGCCTTCAAATTTCTTCACCCCTTTAGATGCTATGCGTGTTTAATTACAGAATCAAATGCTAAAAAAACATTAACAGTCAAAGCATCTAAAAATATGTACTGATGATATTTTTCTAGAAAGTTTTTTAATTTAGATATTTTATTTTTCTAAAAAAAGAAACAATAAATTGTATTCCCATTAGGCTGGCTGAAATCGAAAAAATGTGATAAACTTGTAGGAACACTGCACACGGAATAGCAGTAAATCCCGGTGAACTGTTTCTCCTTTGTCCTTTCTCCTAACTTGTTAGAAATCTCTTTCGGAACAAACAAAGTATCGAAGGAGATTAGACAATGTCAGTTTAATCATTGCCTTTTGATATCTGGGATTTTGCCTAAGCAGACTTAGCAGCGACGTTTTTCTGATTTTCCTTCTCTCTCACAGTATTAACTAAACTGGCCAATCAACTGCTTCATTCTTATTGTCTATTCTCAGGAATAAATAAATCAGTCAAGATTGTGGACAGTAATGATATCCGAATCGGAGAAGAAACTGAAACGTCCAGTGAACCTATGACAAGTACCGCGGTATGCGCGCGAGTGCAGTGCGCTTACGAGGCAACTTGCGCCGTCGATTCCAATGGACAACCCAGGTAAAATTTGTAATGATTTCCAGGAAAATAGAATCACACAAATAAGTACCCCTTCCGGGAATCGTACATAGGAACTTTGGGGTAGTATAAAGGATCGCTGACATTTAAAAAAGGAAAAGTAATTCACATTATTTAAGATTTTTGACTCCTTAGTTAAGGGGTGTATGCGTGTGTCTTAATCACGTCACATGTTTTGGCCATTTTACATCCATAAATGCTGGCTGCACTAAGATAAGTACGTCAAGAATACGACTCACTTTGGAAGCATTAAGTTTAACTGACGTCTTCGGGTTCGGCAGTTAGATATGGCTTATCCCTTGGTCTGTGGAGCCCAATACTTAATGTTGTTGTGATGTTTTTCACGGCCGGAAAATAAAAAAAAAACCGGCTGATTTTCCTACTACTTTACATCCAGGCTTCATTTAGGTCTCAAATCAATCCTGAATAGTTTCTCTACAAACTTATCTATAAATTAGATGTGTAAATTACTAAATATGATAAAAGGCAAAATATGAAAAATGAAAATAGTTTTCTCAACTCGTGGCAGAAATCATCCACTTACACAGACGAGGGTTCCCATCCTTCGTCACACAATGTCACACTTTGTTGATCCTCTCCCTTTATGGATGGCCCTTCACGACGAAATCCACGGTCGGTACATCGTATCTTGGTGGTCCCTTAGATGTTCTTTAATGTTTTTCTTCATCAGATGTGCATGTTTGTTCGATTGTGCTGCGGCGGCGGCCGCGTCTGCCACCTCCGCCCCAGTTTGTGCGTCCGACCTACGTCTGTACCCGACCCTGTGCCATATGAAACTAGAGGCGTGCAGGCGGCAGGAAGAGTTGAGACTGAGGCCGCTGCCCCTGTGTCGTGGCCTGGAGGTGAGTGCATAGAATGTCTGTATCCGACCCTGTGCCATATGAAACTAGAGACATGCAGGCGGCAGGAACAGTTGAGACTAAGGCCGCCGCCTCTGTGTCGTGGCTTGGAGGTGAGTGCATAGAATGTCTCTACCCGACCCTGTGCCATATGAAACTAGAGACATGCAGGCGGCAGAAAATAGAGACTGAGGCCGCTTCCTCTGTGCGCTGGTTAATTCTAGTACATAAATGACAGTGCCCATTTTTCTTAGGACATCCGTACCAACTTGCATCAAACCAAATTTACTCTCAAGAGTTTAGTTTTTATCTAACTTTTTACTATCAAAAATAATTTGTCAATGTTTAACCACGTATTAGAAAAAAATACATTAGTTGGAAAACAGACACAGCTACAGACACGGCACTTCAAAGTCAGTATCTCATCACTGTCAATACTTATTATAGACGTGATGAATTAATTATACGATAAAACTACCAGATCGACTCAAACGCAGCAAGAATAACATCGACCAAACAAACAAAACAAACAGCATCACAACAAATACGAAATTGACATTGACACTAACAGTTCCGTAATTAGGCGTTCCGAATCGCCATGAATGTATGTTTTGAGTTTCGAAAATACGCAATATTTACTTTCTGAAATGGTGAAATAAAATAAAATGATATGAAAGAATTACATATTTTATTTTCTACTTTAAAATCTTATTTACTTAGACAACGGCTAAAGCTAATAAGGCGAACAAAAAAAAAATATGTTCATTGTTAAACATCGGAAATAACAGACAACTGTTATCGGAACGTGCAAGATTTCAGAAATCGACTTTTGATATAGGGATATGTAATTTTTTGCGGAAGTAGGTAATTGCTAATTATGAAGCATCATTTATATGTTTTTTTAAATGTGGTTAAAAAAACTGTTAAAAGTCACTACATAATACATATAAATAAAACATTATTTTTGGTATTAATATATCTATGACGCAATGTGGTACGGGGTATGGGCATTGTCCTTTGTAATTTTTTGTTTCAATTTTACTTTGTTCTTAGTAGGTAATTGCTAATTATGAAGCATCATTTATATGATTTTTTTAAATGTGGTTAAAAAAACTGTTAAAAGTCACTACATAATACATATAAATAAAACATTATTTTTGGTATTAATATATCTATGACGCAATGTGGTACGGGGTATGGGCATTGTCCTTTGTAATTTTTTGTTTCAATTCTACTTTGTTCATATGGTTTCAGTTCGGGGTCTGCACTGTTAAGGTTGAGTTCAGATTTAGCTTTGTTTGACAGTATCGATACTTTGACCTAGTTTTAACACAATCGATATTCCATAGTTTCGGCCTTGCGGTGACGACGAAGCTGTAGTAGACTCCGAAGGACGCCCTGTTGACTGCGGCGGAGGTCCTCGTAGAAAAGACTGCCCTATCGGTAGTTACTGCCACCACACAGCTAAAGCTGCGAGATGCTGCAGAAAAGGTATTTTTAAAATTTGGAATTTCGAACGTTTCAACGTAGAAAGTTTCTATTTGATTGTTTTTTTAACTGTTCCAATGTTTAAAAATGTTCCAAACTTTCATAGAACAGGGTGGACGCAGCCCGAGACCTAACTTGGTCTATGAATGAGTACTTTACTAAAATAGTCTTAATTAGAAGAACTAGGTGTAAAGTAATAAAATACATTCACTTCATACTTATACCAGCGTAATGAGACAGATTTACATTTTGACTTTAATGAACCGAAATAAAGATGTCAATATTATAAAATACTTTTTTAATTGCCGGTTTTTGTTCGTCATGTGTGATTGGTGTGATTTGTGCTTACAGAAAAAGGCCTCACAGAAACCAAAGGTTGCCAGGAGTCTTGGCACGGGTGTTGCGCAGACGGCGTGACCCCAGCTCGTGGGCCAGGTGGCGTTGGATGTCCGTCTCAATGTGGGTGCCATCGACTGGGCTCTGTGACCGAGCAGTGCGACGAGAGCGGTCAGTGCTCGTGCCGGCCGGGCGTGGGTGGTCAGAAATGTGACCGCTGCGAGCCCGGCTACTGGGGGCTGCCGAGGATCGGTACCGGCCACACTGGCTGCATACGTGAGTCTGTCATACTGTTTACTCTCAGTGGGTGCCATCAGTTCGGGTGTTGGAATGAGCTGTGGAGTACGGCGTATGTCAGACTTTTTCTTCAGTTTTAAAATTAATTATTTATCTCATTAATTCGATACTTCCATGATTTGATGACAATTAAAATTAAAACTTCGAAAACTTCTTGCTTCTGTTAACTGCGCTACGTTTACCGTAGTTTACTATACTTTGAAAAAAAAGATTTGAAATATTTTTTTTCAGCTTGTGGTTGCTCAGCATTTGGATCAGTGCGTGAGGACTGCGAACAAATGACGGGTCGTTGCGTCTGCAAACCTGGGATACAAGGTCAAAAGTGTACAGTCTGTTCAAATCACGAGCACACTCTTGGGCCGAACGGGTGTTTTGATCGTGAGTACTTGATATATGACAATTTATTGATATCAGTTTTGATTACTACTCTTATACCTACTTATTTTTTTTTGCACAGCTGAATCAACTCAACTGCCAGCTACCAGTTGCGACCACATGACTTGCTACTTCGGAGCTCACTGTATAGTTCGCAGCGGACTTGCAACGTGCGACTGCATTACACCGGAATGTCCACCGGCAGAGGGCCCATCCGTGTGCGGTAGCGACGGGCGCACATACTTATCCGCTTGCCACTTGCGAACTCACGCTTGCAAAACTCAGTCAGACATCGTCGTACAAGCCTTCGGCCCTTGCGCCAACGAGACTCCGCACGTGAGGCGAGGTAGTCGCTCCACCGATACTCGCTCAAACCTCACCCGAAAACATCGAGAGCACGTTAACTCTAAATCTCTTGAGACACACGCCAAACATTCTTCCACAAACTCTCTCCAGTACACAGATGCTTCCGTAGACACCAGTGATAGCGGCAAACCAGACAGTCCAGACCCCGAGCTCAGTTGTGTTGACATCCTTCCGCCAGTCGGATACCGCTAGCTTTAGGACCGCTAGAATAGTAGACCTTCTGCACCAATCGTTGTTTATGTAGATATCGAAGCACCTACTTGTAAGATTTTCAAATTATAGCAGTTTTAAGATGTTGTTTTAACTGATTCGCAGAAAATAATGCAATGGAGGAAATTGTAGAGGGAAAGAATTGTGCGGTAAAGGCCAAAGACAAAATTCCTTTCGATGAGGATGGGGATTTAGAGGAAGAACTAATAAACCAGGTGGTGGAAGACTATATGCTCTACGAAGAGTATATCGAGGAGGAGATAAGTGATATGTATAAAGTGCCGTTGTTCGATGGCATGGCACGTATGACCGCTCGGACGCGACTGCCCGCGAAGCGATTCGATATTTGGGCCGAAGTGTCCGCCGTTTGCGGTAAAGGTGCTTTGATGAGTGCGTCTGGGACGAGAGATCATTTGTGGCTTGGTTTTCTAGAAGATAGGGCAGTGTTACGTTGGGATGCGGGTGGAGGGCCTTTGGAACTGTACTCTGGGAAAGTGAAAATAGATGGCAAGTCGCAGATATCAGCGCGGCGATACAAGAAAGATGCGATGCTGCGAGTTGGGTCGGCGACGGCACGGGGGTCGGCGCCTGGTAGGATGAGCTCATTAGATGTGGACCCGTTTATCTACATCGGTCATCCTCCAGAAAATGTGACGAAGTAAGGGATATTTATAAATATTGACCTGTTCATATCATGTAAGTAGTTCTTTTTAGAAAGTAGAAAAATATTTATTGGTAAAATACCAGAATACAATTAAAAAAGGAACCCTGACTCTTAAAATTGTTGGTTTAACTTGTATATCTGGAGCCAGTTTCTTCCTAACACTTTGTTTGACACTAAATCTTCTAATGTATAGAATTTTCGTGCCACAGTGTTTCTTACATAAATCATCAGAATTGGTTTGACTGATTCTTCTGAAACTTTGTATGTATATTCTGTTGGTCTGAGAATAGTATGTGAATTATTTTTTAACACAGAAAAGACGTAATACGTAGACGGAGTGCGAACATTTCTCTTCCGCGATCATTTTCATGCTTTTCTGTGTCCGGCACCTTAGTGATAAGGGTGGTATACAGCTAATTTCTATTTTTATTTTTTGGATATTTTTATGATTTGTTATTAAAAATACATATAACTCAACATTTTCACCCTTCTACCATCAACCCCTAAAGTATAGTATACCTAAACAGTAGGAAGATGTTTGCAAACGACATCAGTATGACAGTCAAATTACGCTAGTAAGACATAACGGATCGACGACCTCCGTGGCCGAGTGGTTTATACGCCGGGTTTCATGGCGTCGCCGACTCGAGAGGTCCCGGGTTCGAATCCCGGTGGGGGCAGATGTTTGTGTGATGAATACGAGCATTTGTACTCCAGTCATGGATGTTTAATATGTATTTTGAACTGTGGAGTCGTCTCAATTTACTATGTATTTACCAAGGCAATTTTCCATGTAGGTTATCTGGCGGACCGTTGCACGGTTTCGTGGGATGCATTCATCGGCTGCGCGTGAGTGGACGCGACATAATTCCTCCTACCAGAGGATTATCATTAACAGGCTACGGTTTGCGCTCCTGTACACCACATAACATCGCTCGATTTACCTGCCCATAACATATTGAAGATTCAAGTATCCGCATTCGAGAAAAAGAGAACTCTTTACTTAATAGCCAATCAGCAAAACAGTCGACGACCTCCGTGGCCGAGTGGTTTATACGCCGGGTTTCATGGCGTCGCCGACTCGAGAGGTCCCGGGTTCGAATCCCGGTGGGGGCAGATGTTTGTGTGATGAATACGAGCATTTGTACTCCAGTCATGGATGTTTAATATGTATTTCATATAAATATACTTATATATGTACAATATATGTATTCTATCCGTTACCCTAGTATCCTATAACACAAGCCTTTACAGTGCTTACTTTGGGGCTAGGCTAATTGGTGTGAGTGTTGGAAATATTTATTATTTATTATTATTTATTATAGCAAAAATAATATGGGTAATATTTAAATTATCCTCAAAAAATAATAAATGAATCATCATCATTGTTATGTTTTTATTTTTTAAGCATTTAACTGCTTGATCCTTAAATCTAAATAAAAGTTTGCGCGCGCGGTAGTATAATGGTCAGTACATTCGCCCGGATAGCGAAGGGTGCGGGTACGAGTCCCGTCTGCTGCCTGGTCCGCGTGCAATTTTTTCTAATAAAACTTTTCTTTAATTTAATCATTATTTTTATTTATGAAAAAAATATATCACCCAAAAATACAACCGGTAATCTAAAGGTTATTTTACCTTTTGTATTTTTTTGAGTTACTATTTTTTTTTTGAATCACTTAAATATGAGCAAAAAAAAACAGATTTCAATGTTTTCAGTCGACAAGTTATTTAATTACAGGCAGTCCGCGTACTTACGGCATGTTAGGTTCTCGAAATACGCGATGTAACACAAAACGATGTGTCGAGACATCCCAATGGACGCCGGCCCCACGGACATTTACCTCAAGTAAATTCTCCTATAATCGAAACAATGAGTTTTCTGCCTCACCAGATGGCGCCACTGTTGAGTGAGGTCCTAAATTGTAACTTTTAAAGTTTATTAATACGCACATGAAATCAAAGGTTACATTTAGATCGTATTTTGACACAAAAGAACCATATCCTAAACATAATAGGCCATGCCACAGTGACGCGCAGTTCCGTTTTAATCGGAAAAAATGGGAACATAATCATTTTTCTAAGCTCAAATTTTTAATAACTGACATTCATTGCCACATAACTCATATTTGCCATAATTAAGCCGAATTGTTACCAATTATTCACAACATAATTTTAATTAGAAATAAACCCGCGTAGTCAACTAACAAGCAATAACATTTGACATTTCGGAGACCTCACGCTACACTAGCGCCTCTAGCGGCGGATTCATACGCGATAGCCCTCATTGACTTATGCTTGAGGAATAGTGTCAAAACATTATTTGACGTAACTTGAAACGACGTAAGTCGAGGACTGCCTGTATTATTGATATTAATTGTGTTATCACATTGCTGAATATTTAATTTATAGAAAATTGACACTAGCAATTTCCAGACAACTATAAAAATAAATAAGGGTAATAAAAAACTTCGGAGTGGTGTAAACAAGACAGGTTTTAGTGTAGATTTTCTTGGAATATTATTGTTATTTGAAAATGTCTCTGTTAATGTTATTAGTTTGAAGTTATATTCATATAAAAAAGCAACTTATATATTAATTTATCTCAATACATAATCACTTAATGCAATCGGCGAAAGATAGCCATAGAAAAAATTATACAAATATTTTATTAACTGTTTTCAAAAGGCTTACTATTTAAATTTGGGACTAGATAGGATAGTTAAAGGGAAGTACAAGCTCCTTCTTGTATTGGACAGAAAAAAAATGTGTCGTGGAATCAACATAATGTGTTTGTTATAACTAGAAAATAAAACTAACAAAAATCTAGTTAATATGGTAATAAAAAGCTGTGAATCAATAATATCAATTTTAAAATATTCATTTTATTGACGAAATAGTCATTTTAACGTTACTACTAATATTGTATACTACCACTATGGACAATTTTAAACTACTTGTACTGAAACTATCGAACTTCAATGTGATAAAACTTCTTAGGGCCTCTTACAGACGACCGACTTTTTGTACGATCTAATATGGGATCTTTTTTAATATTTAGCCTATAGACTTTCTCGATTATAAATAAATTACTCTTATAAAGACAGGCTCAGATATTATCATTGTCATGATTGAGGCAGATTTCTTGAAAATTTTTCAGCAAAATCATTTATACATATTGATAGGGGTTGTGTTGTAAGCCTTCATTTATTAGTTATTATAGAAATTCACTGGTTCGCACAAAAAGTGATCGTATATGATGGGCCTAAATTTTACTATTTACTGTTAACTTCGCCATATCTAATTTTAGGAGTTTTGTAATGAACCATCGTTTAAAATATATTACAGTTATATTTTAATCTGTTTGTTATTATTCATTGTATCCTTTTAAATACCTCCAGGGAAGCCTTAGGATAGCAGGGTGAACTTTAACTAAGTAAACTAAGTTTAAAGGTTGTGGTCCAAAATGTTGAGTAAGGGCTTCTACGACTTCTTCTGTTTTGAAAATTGGTTTGCTATACAAAAATGCACCATTTAAACCTTTAAAGGATGATTTATAGGTTAAAAATTATCCTTACCCGGAATTCATACTATCGTAAAATTTCATCTATATTGGTTCAGCAGTTTAAGCGGAAACAGACACACTTACGCATTTATAATATTAGTATGGATATACTATACCTAGTATTTTTTTATGTGTATACTATACCTAGTCCGGTTTTTGGAGATTATGTAATATGTATTAGTAGACAAAAATGTAAAAATTCTTTATACTTAACAAGTATTTTCTTTCTATCCCTGTGGTCATAAAAATGAATATGATAGGCCAACATTGTTTCTGAAGTGCAAGAAATTAAATTGGTGAAATATTGGGAGCTCAGAATGAAAAGCAAATGTCCAGTTATTATAATTCACAGGTGCCTCATTTAAATAGGCCAGTATGGGAAATTCTGAAGTTCTGAATTAGTTTCGGACTGAAAGTATAAGAGATAAGATCTGTTCTAAGGAACCATGTCAACGATTTTAATAATAAGAAAAACTGCATTCATACATTTAAAAAAAGCCTGTACTCAGCTCGGGAATTGAACCCGGTTGTTTTGAAAAAAAAACACTATTTCTATTTAGATATCGATTGTGTAGGTCTTTAGCAGTAATGGCTCTATAAAAAATGATGTCTAAAATCATAGATAAATGATTGGTGTCGCTACAGTAGCGAGACCAGTCATTTATCTATGTCTAAAATGAATAAAACGCAATGTTTTCACATACTATAATTTATTTTAATAGGTGTTCGAAGTGACCACTGCTTTTTCCAATACAATATTCAACACATTTAGGTAACTATCTTACATTTTGCATTTTGTATGTTCATGAGGTGAATTTGAGTTAAAATTGACTCTATGGCTGCTTTTAGGTCTTAAACGGTGTTATAGCTTGTTTCGTACACTTCATCCCTAACTTAAACCCACAAGAAATAGTCAAGAGGCGTTAAATCGGGCGACCTTACGGGCCATTTCATATGGCAGTGTGAAACTGTGGAAACTGTGGAATTCCTTGCCTGAGCCCTTGTTCCCCGAGCACTACAATCTAGCGGTCTTCAAAGCAAGAGTGAACCGGTTTTTATTAGGTAAGCGCGCTCCATCGTAGAACATAATATTGCTTTCCATAAGGCGAATTATGGTCAAGCGCTTACCTATTACCGAATAAAAAAAAAAAGTTCGTACCAATCCATTTTTGGGAAAAGTTCTCATTTAAATAAATAGTTTCTAGCTATGCGACTATTGTGAGCCGGTGCTCCGTCCTGTTGAAAATAAAGCTGCTCTCTTACTTCTACCAACATTTCTCCTAGGGTTTCTAAAAGATCTTCTTAGATTGCAAGATAGTTCAATGTCTGAATGAATTAATGAATGAATCTATCCAAATGTCGATCATAAATCTTAAATATGAGTACCTTATTATGAAGTAGGCCGGCTCAGCAGTTAAATAAGAATCGTACTTGACGGCGTCCTCTGTGCATTCTTAAGGGATTTTCTCGACTCCAATAGTAATGATTTTTACGATTGTACATTCTCTTGTTGGAAAATTGCGTTTCATCAGAAAATATTACGTACTTTAAAATTATCTGTCTAGCTAGACCCATTACTTCTTTGATCCAATTGCAAAATTCAAGTCTTCTTATATCATCACCTGCATGTAGAGGATTCTATCCCCGGATCCCGGAGCCCGGGGTCCCAGGATCCCGGTCATATTTTAGTCCATAAATTTTCGGGTTTAAATTGATTGCATCCCGGGATATTCGGGATTGATATATTTTTTTTATATAAGTCAATAAAAATATGCGTGAAACGAAACGCGCTTACTTTCATTTGACGTTTTGACAGCCATCTTGTATACACAGCTGACTTCATTTATGTTTGCTAACGACCGGTACCAGATTATGTGTAAAAGTGTTTAAAAATTCCGCTTCACTTCGTGCAAGTATTGATATTTTTTTTGTTAATTGGTGATATAATCAATGAATTTATTAAAACAACAACCAATGCATTAAAGTGTCAGACAAACAACGAATGTTATTTTCTGTAGCTCTAAGAGGTTATGTTTTGCATAGACTTAAATGTTTTTTTTTATTTGTGTTCAGATTTAAGAAGTAAACAATGTCATTATCCAAAGAAAGTTTTGATGTCAAGCATAAAAAAGATGAAGATGTTTCGTTAGTGTGGAGTAATTTTTTACTCGATAAAGCGGGTAGCTCAGCTCAATATAAGCGTTGCTTAGCTATTTTATAGACCTAAGAGGATCAACCAAAGGCCTACATACTCATCTTCAAAACATTCCGTGAAAGTAGATTCTGCTAAAGCATCTTCCTCAACGGGCCAAAATAATGAAGATCCACCTATAGTCTTTTTTATAGTATATCTAAACAAGTCTTAAGAAGCTGATTTTTTTAAGTTTGTTGTAAAATAAAATAAACGAAATAGGCAATTCTGTAAACAATTTATGAAATAGTTTCATGTTTGATGAATGAAGTGCCTAGTTTGTTTATTTTATCAGAAGAAATTAAAACATTGTTTTCTTTTTACCCGGCTGCGCAATGCAAGAGCGCGAAGCGCGACGCGCAGACAGGGTTATGTGTTTAACAGTCTATATATGTATGTTTGTTCCTTTGTGGCACACTAGAGACCAAATGCCTGGACCGATTTTGATGATTCATACATCATGATGATTCAATCCCTATGGATGGAATAGGGAGATTGGGCCATGACCCACCACGCGGGCCCAGTACGGATTGGTGGGTGCTAACGACTAC